CATGCTCATCTAAGCCCCCAACCCTTCTTTTAGGGAATTTCTATTTTTGGGTTCACACTCGGCTACGCACCCATTCCCTTCAAAAATGTGCCAAATTTGACTGTCCAGTCATAAAACCTGGTTGTTGAGCATTGTTTGACTTTTCTGAATGCTAGTAATTAAATTTAGCATGGATATCGACTGCTGAAAGAGTTGTGGAAATCTATGACGATGCAGCTCATTTCACAATTTTAATTTCACCAAAAAAGACATATCCGCTTATCTGGCACATGGTAAAAAAAAACTATTTTTGGCCAATTTTTTCAAATTGGGTACTTGACTAAGTGCCCACCCCCCTAAAAATATGATTTGGTGAGCTGAGTACCCTGGGTGATAAGTAGGATAAGTAAGTAAAGTACAGTAAAATATGTACACCCAATGCTGCTTTGAATAGCTGTACTGTTTGTAATAGAATTTTTAACATGACAAATGGTTCCAAAACAACAGCATCGCTTATATAATGCTGTATATAGCCCCTTTCCCCTGGTGTGCACATTGTCAATATATCTGTTGTGTTCATCGTGCAATAAATATAATATTAAGATGTAATGTGTACTTTTGTTGCATGCTCTGAAACTGAATACAATGTTGTGCTCATAAAAACTGTGTATTTGCAACTTTTCCAGAATTCCACCCAGTCCTGAGGCATTTGATCCCAACCCTATTCTGATAGCAGACTCCCCTACTGAAGGACAGACAGGTAAGTACAATATCTCTCTGTCTTCCTTGCATATAATCACGAATCAAGAATGTCAATTATTGAGTTTAGATGGTGAAACTTTTTTTTTTTGACCAGTGTTACATGTATATATAGATTTGGCTCAAAAATAATCATGCTCTTCAAATATCATTGTGTCACTCATGAATTTATCTCATCTATAAGTATTGTTAAACAGTGCATGGTGCAGATTTGCATGGAATCCTGTTTGGTTGCATATTTTGATTTGAAATAGTGCTTCTTTAAGATTTCTAAAATGACATTAGTATGCTTAGTGATTAATTATTCATCAATCAATTTGGTCACAACTGAACAAAATATTGTAGAACGTCTAATGTCTTTATAATGATTGTGGCATCAAAATATTTTTGCAATGGCTTTGTTCAGGCACTTCTTTTGGATTTGCAATAAATCACTGAAAGCCACAGTGAAGTAACATAGTTAGGGTTTAGTTAATTTTTATCATCTGGGTGTGTTCATATTTACTGTCCATTTTTAGTGCCCGTTAGGACGCAGTCCGAAAACGAGGACTTATGTTTTGACCCTTGTGTGTCTGTGCGTTTGGGCATCCATGTGTCTCTGTGTGTGTCCGGACCTGTATCTTAGACATGCCTAGACCAATCTCATCAATCAAACTTAACACATACATCATACATAATATTATACATATGCACGATCTGATTCAAGATGGCCAAATGGCGGCCATTTTGTTTTAATGAATGAGCCATATTTCTGACTTGCTTTGACTGATTATGTTCAAATTTTTATAGATATATATATGTATTCAAAATGGCTGATTTTGTTTTAATTAATGCTGTTCCAGAGCAATATCTCTCAATATGGACAAGTACTCGTTTGACGATCAGATACAAATGTCAATCATTTTAATGTTAAACAATCATCATAATCATATTCCTGACATGGTTATATTCCAGCTATATTACTATAAACAAAACTATATATCTTAAATTCGATTACTAACAAGGACTGTGCCATGCATGGCTTGTTATTTTAGTAAATCAGATGAGTCAGCATCTGTGTCTATTCTTTTGTGAATTGGAAGGTTTTTTCTACTTTTCCATGAAAACTTTCAGTTTGTTTGCTACTTTGTGTGACTACTTATCTCTTTTATCATATCAGAGTCCGGTAAAAGTGATAATGAGATGCATGACGTGATTGATGCTGATCAAGAACAAGTTGATCTACAGGTATGTATTATACAACTACTATAGACAATAACAACGAGAACTTGATATCCAATGAAACATAACATTTTGGCCGGAAAAACAAATTTATATGTCAAATGTAATACTTGTGACTGGATGTCTAAGAATATTTTAATGCTTGAATGTCTTTACTTTCAGATTCCAAAATGGCAGCAAGTTTTAAATGAAGAGCAGGAAGTTTCTAGTAGTCATAGCAACAGTGGAACAACTTCATCTGGAACATCGTCTTCTATCTCGGCTGGGAATTCCCTAGAAAGTAGAGTGTCCTCATCACTGCAGGTAATAACGAAAATTGCTGACTTACTTAGCTCCCGACTTGTCGCTGACGAGTTGCTGACTTGTGCTGCTACCGACGAGTTGCCGACTTGCCCAGCTACTAACTAGTTGCCAACTTGCCAACTTGGAAGTCAGGTCAAGTCCATTTTGAATACCATCATATTTTACCATCTCAATACACAGAAAAATGCATTCTGGGTATTTTTCCCCATAATGTAATTTACCTCTCCAAATTCAAATTATTTTTAAAATTTTATAATTCACATTGTCAAGTACAAATTTATTACATGTACAAGTAAAAAACACCATTAAATGTAATGTAATCGTCTCTAAGGGTAACATAATTTGGATAGTGATAGACTGTTATGATATAATTGAACTATTCCAAAATATTATATAAATATACTTTGCATACTGTTAGGCACAAGTGCAATCAATGCCATATATTACAACCGATGAAAGTGGTCGAAGCAGATCTGCATCACTTGGAAGACAGAAAGATATAACAACTAGTTCCTCTAAGAGTTCTTCTGAAAATGAACATACCCACCATCCATCACCAGAGTTTGCTTCTGTCAACAAGCCAATGAAAATTAGGAATGAGATGGAGAAAAGCTCCGCTCAGAATGAAAGGACACAATGTCAAAGTTCATCAGTTCAGTGCTTGGATAAAACTGATTCACAGCTGAGAAAACCAAAAGAAGTTCCTAGACTTGAAGAACCTGAATTGTCTGAGGTATTTAACTGTTATCATATTTCTCTTGGTAAATTTTTTGGATTAGAATTTTGTTCATTACATGCTCATGTTTTATTTTATTTTTTTCAAACAGGACTTATTCCATCCTACTCCGCAAAAATACACAAAGACATTTGATCCAGTTGTAAATGCCCATACAAGAACTGTAGTTTCAGAATCCTCAGAAGCCCCCTCTTTAGGTCTTTATCTTTCCAGTAGCCATGGTTACAGTGAAAGATATTCTATGCATAGCAATCTGGAAACAAGGACTTCATCACATCAGAAGACGAAGACTGACGCTGTGATGTACGATGAGGATGAGGAGAGTGAAGGATGGTGTCTACGATATACACAGTCTCAGGCTGATACTGAATCTCAAAGTCAAGGATGGTCAAAATCTCAAGGTCAAGGAAGGTCAGAGAGAATAGCAGAGGATAATGAGAGCTGTGAGATTGTAGAACACTGTGTTCCGCAATTTAGTAGTTCTTCAAAGAGTGAGTGTTGATGTTTGCTACTACATTGCAATGTAATACAACTATACTGGACAACACAAAAGTATTCATTTATTGTCATACACAGCATTCAGCAGTTCTTTTAACATTGATTAAAAAATACAAAAACTTAGTAATAAACAGAGCACATGTTCCTGTGTGCAAAAGCATGATGCGTTTGCTTATGCATGTTGATATTTCAAGAACCAATCATCAGATTTTTAAAAAAATCTTGCTACACTTGTTTTATTACTTTTGATAATTGCATACTGGAACAGTTTTCAGTGTGGTATTCAACTGTGTTGTATCTACCGTACTGGACCTAGTTAGTGAATTGTCGCTTTTGAAGTATGATTTTTTGCAATTGATTTCGGCGAATAAACGACGTTTTTTTCAAAAAACTGTTAACCTGAATATGGCATGAAATATTTACTGCTTTTTTTTTATTAACAGGTTATTGTCGAAGGTACCTAGTTTATTCACGATTACCGTGGTCTACGCATTCACAACATATTCTTAGTAGTTCGGTCGATGTCCACTCTGTATCATATAAAACGATTACCGAAAAATCTGTATTAGAAGCCGCATCCCTAATAGAAGTCGCATCCAATTCTTTTTGTACAATTGAGAACCAAAAATTCATCATTTCTCATATGTGTAGATGCTCTAATACAAGCCGCATCCCCTCTGTTGCATTGTACCATTTTAATAGAAGCCGCGGCTTCTAATACAGATTTTACAGTACTAGTATTTGTTAAGCAATGATCAAAGACCAAGTTTTAAATTAGTGTCATTTTGAAGGGGTGGGCACTTTGCTGAATGTGACCCTGAATATAAAAATTTCGCTGTCCAGTACGGTATCTGTTTTTGTGTTGTATCTTTCAGTTTTCCACAGC